AGAAAATGAACTGGTAAGATCATAACGCATAACTTCTATCCTTATAATGCCGTGGCTTCTCTGTCTCCGCAGTTCAAAGAAAGATGCAGAGAACTTTTTTCCCTACACTGAAAGCAAGCGCACATTGTCCACTTCGGAAGCCATGAAGCTCATCGCAGGTTATTCACTGGATAATTGGTCAATGATAGGGAATGTCATTGAGCAGTATTTCCATCTTCAGACGAGCGATGCACCAAACACCACTCAGAGCTTTGGACTGGAGGAAATTCGACCAAGGATGAAGTTCCAGTGGAATGAGGATAAGAAACTGAGTGTGTTTTGTGTACCATGGAGGAATTTAAGAATAACACTCCGATTGCTGACACGTGGTTAGGGCAGTTGAAATTGAAAGAAAAGCATAAGTGACTCAGAATGACTACCGGTCTCTCTTGTCGGGAGAAGCGCTCAGTATTCGGCTTCGGAGAGGCAAGCAGGAATTTTCGCCAGTGCAAATGCATGGTACGTAGTCCAGCTATTCACGCTTCTAGAAGAATTCAGGCCCGGCGAAGCGCTGCCGTTGCAGTCGCGTTCTAGTGCTACCCAACTCCCACCTTTCTATACCTACTACCAAGCTACCTAAGGAGAAGGTGGATACGCCCGGCAGACGCCGAGCTATCCACCTTCTCCTTAGGTAGCTTGGCTTCGCCAGACGTTCTTCATAATGGAAAAGGAATTTGTTCATTTACTTAGCTGCTCATAGCTGCGCTAGTGATTGAGTCATAAAGATGGAGCGACCCACGCGCGAGCTCACGTCCAGCTGCCACGCGAGCTGCTTGTGCAATGGCTGCCAACAGCATCATAGTTTGTGCTCATGTGCTCGTCGCACAGACTGTTAGCATGTCGAATTTTGCAAATTTACAAATTGTTCTCGTGTACACTTTTTTATTATTGGAAAAAGTTTCGTTGTACTACAAGTACGTAGACGCTTGGGGGAGGATAAAAATATCTTTGAGATTGGAGTCCGGTAGCTCCTACATGATTTTGTGCTAGTTTGATCATTGCATCTGGCATGTCATTGAACGAGTTTCCTCATGCGTTCTCGGAAGAGCGTTGCAAGCAGAGAATGTGTCCGCTGCTGTAAGAGACACGCTGAACCGTGATCTCCTGACGTTTTCAAAATGACAACAATTTGTAAGACTGTGGGCTAACTATCACTACCGTTGCGCAAGAGCCTTTTCTTTGCTGGGAACAGACAGCTGCGGCCGCGGCCTCCCGCTATGGAGCATGTTTCCCGCATTACCCTGTTTTCTCAGAAAGGGGAAACGGCAGCTCATCCATATTCCGACTTCTTAAGTATGCAGGAAAAGGGGGCTATTTTTGCGCTTCTTCCAAAGCCATAGCAAGCCAGATGTACATCCCCTCCGAAGCTGCTTTTAGAGGACATCAGTAGTCACCTACGAAGGCCACTTCAAAGTCGCGAAATCCGTCCGCAGCGTCAATACTGAACTTTTCTCATCCAGAAATATTATTTACCAAGGGTATTTTCATGGGATGTTGTCCGTTTTTAACTTGGCAGTTTCTGCCCTCACCTTATATGATGACACTTTAGTATTTTCACGAAGAACTTCGAGTTTTGTCATCTCGTTCTGAACAGCTAATCTGGAAGCATTTGTTCTTTTAGTTCATGAAGCACACTCATTTGACCGGAGAGCGCACAAACGGTTATTCTTGAGGTCAGATACTTGTTGAAACGTTTTCTCGGCCAACATACCGAGAGTTATCTAAGCGACTCACGGTATTCGTACGTTGTTCTGAGCAAATAGAGAGTCTGGATAGTCCTACTGACTGGTGTCATTTTGAAATGTCAGGAGATTACGGTTCAGCGTGTGTTTCAAAACCAGCCGGTAGTGCAGTGCGGTTAATCACCTCAAGGCTACTTGCGACGCTATACGCGAGCCATCTATGAGGAACCTGTCTCAGGGACATAAAATGACCAAACTCGCAAAGAATCGAACTACAAGACTCTAATCTCATAAATATTTTTATTTTTTCCTTAGTGTCCACGTACTTTTGGTACGAAGAAATTTTTTCCACAATTAAAAAATTGGAGTTCACCCATGAGATGCTGCGAAGTGAAGTGTACTGAGGTTTCCGTACCCGAAGAATCGAATAGTAACGGCCCGATTTCGCAATAATCAAAGGTGTTGAGTCGAATATTGGGATGTCCACGTACTTTTGTTGCGCACTGGAGCAGAAGCAGTATAGAGTGTAAACTTGCAGACCTTGACATGAAACCATTCTGTGCAACGACCACATGAGGTGGTCCCACGACACTGCTGGCAAGTGCGAGTATGAGTGTGATTCACCGTGTAACTCTTGCAAATCTGCATCGCATCTGTGGCCGCTTTATCACGCCCTTTCGCGTGAAGCAAGTGGTGCACTCCCTGCAGTGCGGACCTGGATGCCAAATGCCACGGAGGCATCATGCGGATCACTGAATTGCAGTAATGGTTACAGTGCAGAAGTTTGCGATGGATGCAGGTTAGTAGTAACGACGACACACATGCAAAACGTTTGGTAACAAGAGCAAAGGGTGAGGCTGTAAGCTAGGTGAGGGTACCAAAGGAATGTGGATAAAGGATGAAAAAGGATAAAGTCTTCGCCGTTGATCAATCCCTTTGTGGGATGCGGCACGCATTCTACTTCCATTCAGAATCGTAGTGGCTTATTGAATGCGATGTGGCCTATACAATGACTTGCGGTGGCCAGCCGATGTACAAGTCAGTGTTTTATCCTCCCAGACGAATCTGGTACCAATTCACCGTCCCCGGAGGGTAGAAGGCTTGGTTGGCCTGGGCGGGTCCGGGATTTGAACCTAGGACCGCGCGGGTGGTAAGCGCGCCATTTGTCGATGCATGCAAATGCGATGCAAATGACAGGGAATTCGTTCGAGTGGCGCAGGTGCCCACTGTCCTACTGTGACTGTGATGCCACTAATCGTAAGTGCCTAGTAGCCGAGCACAACTGGAAAAGAAAATCAGGGCTGAAAGAGGTTGAGGTCAACTCAGAAACAGAATATGATGAGTTAAGTCACCTGTACATGATTCTACGTTTATGCTGAAGTCTTGCTAATATAAGTCGATCAAGAACGTTAATGATGACGATGAGTGGCCTAGACAAGCTATCCGCTGCGAAAGATGGGCTGCAGAGACGGGGCGGAGGTTCCAGCCACGCTCAGCAATGTCCCAGTACCAGTATGGCAAGAATCACGGTAGGGAAGTGGCCATTTGAAACGAAATGTATACCGCCTGAAAATTGCTCGGACGGGGACTACAAAACCATCCTCCATATCTGCTGCGGGCCTCCCAGGAGAGAGTTACGGATCTTTTTACAGAGAGAATACTAGCATTCAGTACGAAATGGAGGCGTACGGCTGGTGGCATCATAGCAGTGTGGCCGAATGGTTCCGTCGTAGGGCTCACGAATAGGTAGTCAGAGGTCTGGATCGAAATGGAGGCGTACGGCTGGTGGCATCATGGCAGTGTGGCCATAATAGTTCCGTCGTAGTGCTCACGAATAGGTAGTCAGAGGTCTGGATCCTTGATGCGTAGCCTTGCATTTTGTCGAAAGCGGTCTCTGTGCGCTCTAAAGAGTTTTTGCATAACTCTTGCGCTTGATAATGTCGTGACGTAATGCTTCTGAACTGATGGAGCCATTGCGAACGATTCATAGAGAACATTTCTGGCTGTTGACTTCTTCTTTCATTGATTTGGAAAAGCATATTTCCAACAACAAAAATGCATTCCAACGAAAGAGTTTCCTCTGGAAAATGACTATTTTCCAAACGACATGACTGGAAATCGAATCCGAAACTGCACGAAGTTGTGCGCAAGGTGGGTATAGTAGGAAAATGCTTCATTATGACGTGGTTTTGACGATGATCTAGAAGTCATGATAGGCAAAACCTTCACTCATCGCTCACATAGTGTTGAAGGATGTTCTTCCCAATGTGGCGCTTTCGCACCTGCTGGAAGTTTTCGGCTCGTATGACAATCTCTTCAGCCAGAAATGTTCTCCATGAAATCGTTCGCAATGGCTCCATCAGTTCAGAAACATTACGTCACGACATTATCAGGCACAAGAGTTATGCAAAATCTTTTGAGTGCACAGAGACCACTTTCGAAAAAATGCAAATAAAAGCACATGCATCAAGGATCCGAACCTCTCACCTCCTATTCGTGAGCCCTACCGTAACCATTCGGCTACGCTGCTACGATCGCACCAAGCTCAGACCGCCAATTCGTACTGAGTGCGAGTATTCTCCCTACAAGAAGCTCCGTAACTAAGCTCCGTAACTTTTTTTGGGAGGTCCGCAGCAGATATGGAAGACGGTTTCGTAATTCCCGTCCAAAGACCTTCCAGCCGGTATACATTTCATTTCAAATGGCCACTTCGACCTACCTCCTTCCCTTTTGAGCCGAGTGACAGTGTGCAAACGTTTTATACAGTAAGGGGCTTACGCTCATCACACCTCATTTGACGAACATTATCAAAGAAGTGGTCTCATAGATCGGGTACAAATGGGATCAGAAGCATGAGGCAGCTGCATAAGACAACCCAGTTTTACCGTTCGACGAAACACACATTGAATAGTTCCTGGAGGGGGTTTATGGAGGACTTCATAATAAGCCTTCTCTTTTTCATATGACTGAAAAAAGACACAACTTTCATCGATCCCTGTAGGTGGACCGGTATCGCCAAAAGTGGAAATGAGCAGGTTACAGTCTAATCTGATAATCCTCTCATTTACCTGTCCATTTCCTCAAACCGTTGATCTTGATAGTAAACGCCAACCTTTGAAGTTCAAAAGGTCCATTCGAGAAACTGCGGCTAATTCAAGGGTTCCAGTTCTTCAACAGGCAAAAACAAAATTGTTAGGTGTAGAATGAGGGCGCTAGATGTGGTATGTAATGAAAAAAAACGAAATTGAACGTCGAGTTTTCCACACAGACCACTTGCAGATGCGTGACCATGGTTGTTATATGTACGCTTCCGCGCTGAATCATCAGACTGGAGATGTCACCATGACTGTTGAAGATATGAGGGAATGGATGGGAGACTTCAGCAGTAGCAAGAATGTGCCAAAACTGATGAGTAGAATGGGACAATGTTTCACTCAAGCTCAGGTTGACACACTCAGAGAGGAAACTTTATTTTCAATGTAGCCTGTTGCTTCCTTGCAGCCGACTGTGCAGGTCATTCAAAAAGAGTGCTGTGTTGAGGATGACGTAGAAGGAGGAAAGGGTCATCCAGAAACACATGAACTGTATTGCTTTTCCGACGGATGTGGTCGAATAGCACCTTCACTAGCTAGACGAATTGCGTTAGACCTACAGCTTGACATCGTTCCTTGTTGCTATCAGGTTGCGTCTGTTTCTCTATTTACGTTTATGTTTATGCACTGCTTAATTCACTGTCAACTGCGCGATGCGAATCGGATTGTCTGTTGCAGGTTCGCTTCAAAGGATTCAAAGGAGTACTTGCTGCCGATCCTTCACTAGATTTACCTAAGAGGGGCCCAAAGGTAGTGTTCAGGTACGTTTCTTGATTAACTGCTTACCATACATATAGGGGCACCCAAGTCTTAGCTAATCCGAATTCGCTGTGCTTTTTAGGAAATATTCCAATAACCAATACGCTCCACGCTAAAAATCGCACCCACTTTTTTCTGGAATAATTTCATCTCTCTTCAGTTACCTTCTTAGTAACAGCCTTCCCCCTTTTTGCGAACACAGGCCCATTCGCAAAAACTTCCTATTTTCCATCACTTTTGAGAGTTAATCCTGCTAGGCGGCGTTCATACTTCGAAATTGCAGCAGCGATTGTGGCGATCGCGCCGATTGCGAGTTGGCGACCCAGCCCCACTTGTTGGACTGCTCCGAGTGCTAGTAGGGAAATCTCCATTCATGTACTTTTTCTCTGATTAGTTGCTACTCTATTCGAACTAACAAATCTTCAGTTCGAGAGACAGAAGACCTAAATTAAGGGGCTATTTGTTCTATTTGTTTTTATGGATTTGCGGAACGATGAGCGAAAAGCGTAGAAGCCTCACTCAAGGTAATTTTCATTGTTTCTTTTCTCATTCCTCAAGGTTGTACCATGCTCAGAAAATTACATAGTTTATACCGTGCTTAGCCTATTCTTAAGAAGTTGTCTCTTTGCTGCTGCTGCTTAAATAAATTCGAACTTTAATTCCTAGGTTATTTCTTTTTGTTTCATATTTTCATTATTTACCCTCAAGCTGTAAAGTCATATATTTTAGAAGCAAGGAAATTTTAGCTAGTAGGGGATTTCTCAAACACATTCAAGTTAGAACAATAAAAAAAACAAAAAGAAGTTCACCTAGGAAATGAAGAAGCCCTTATCTTCGAGCCCATAAGAGAAGATAAAGCTCCTTCCCTCATTCTGGATCCCCTTACTTTGGAAACAGTAGTACGTTTGAAGTTAATAGCAAAGATAAGCATTTAGTAAAAAAATATAAACGTAGGTATTCCTTTTTTAGTGCAGGGAGTGGTCCAACTATTGGGTTGGCACATGAGTAATGGCGTTTTTTTCAATTGAAAATTTTGTTCCAAAAGTGAAATGTTTTGCAAGCGTTCAATATCACCTGATAGGAAACTTCTCGTACTATAAGAATATCAGAACAGCTTTGAGTGAGGAAATAGCGAAACACCTTCGACAGCTGCCTCTATTTCCGTCTATTCAAAGTGGTAAAATCGCTTAAGCTGCTATATAGATTAGCAGTAGGTTGTGCTAGAAGTTGCAGCAAGGGAATCCTCATAGAACGCTTCAGAACTGATTTCAAGAATTTCAAAGTTGGCAACCTTCAGCTCGCAGGATCACAAGTCATCGCGTATGTTTCACTTGAAATTTTATGCTGATAATTGAATGTTTTTTGCATGCTCTGGTAGCAAATTTCGTGCTCTACAACGCTGCAATAAAATTCTGTTTTCCATAGCTGTTTACTTTTGTTAATTTCAGGTTATTAACAAGGAACGTCAGGTCGGTGAGAATCAGCATTCCCGACTTTTTCTCCCTACCGCTTTCCACGGAAACTTCAGAGCCCCTGGAGCAGCCCAACAGTGGTATGCCTCACAATTGATTTTGAGAAAAAATAAAACCGACAACGTTGACCTTGCAGACATCGGTTGATCCATATCTCACGATTTTTTTTGTTTTCCTGATTAAATTTCAAGCACAACTTAACTTTACTTACTTACAACACTATAAAAAATATAGTTGTTTACGATAAACTAGTCGATAATATATTCTCCAATGTTTCTTGCAACCTCCTCCCACCGATCAGCCAGCTCAGTCAGTCACCGAGAAGGCATTGAAAAGCTGGCTGATCGGTGGGATAAGGTTGTAAGAAACAGTGAAGAATTCATTATTGACTAGGTTACTTGTGAAAATCTACATTTTTTCATGAAGTTGTAAATACTGTGTTTGAAATTTACTCCGGAAAACAAAAAAATCGTGAGTTATGGGTCGACCGGATGTCTGCAAGGTCAACGTTGACGGTTTTGCTTTTTCGCTATAGAGCACAAAATTTGCTACCAGAGCATGCAAAACATATTAGCAAACATTCAAGTATTAGCATAAAATTTCAAGTGAAACATACGCGATGACTTGTGATCCTGCGAGCTGAAGGTTGCCAACTTTGAAATTCTTGAAATCAGTTCTGAAGCGTTCTATGAGGATTCCCTTGCTTCAACTTCTAGCTCAACCTACTTCTAATCTATAGAGCAGCTTAAGCGATTTTACCACTTTGAATAGACGGAAATAGAGGCAGCTGTCGAAGGTACTGATTTTCGCCGACTCAACTTCAACAACGACTAAAAAACTTACAAAAATTATTCCCTCACTCCAAAGCTGTTTTGATATTCTTATACTACGAGAAGTTTCCTATCAGATGATATCAAACTTGCTTGCAAAACATTTCACTTTTGGAACAAAATTTTCAATTGAAAAAAAACGCCATTACTTATGTGCCAACCCAATAATAGACTGCGGCACGCTCCCCGTGATCACTACGACCACAGCGATCGCCGCTGCTGTCATGTGTGAACGCCACCTTATGCTGATATGCATGAGTGCACCCAATGTCATCGTTATCGCGCTTATCACGCCCCGTGTTGCTTATTTCTCTGAGGAAGAGCAAACCTATAACGGAGCACTTACTCGAAGACAAGTGGCACGATAAATTCTGAAGACGCATAGGACATCCGCCCAGCAGAACAGAATTTAGCGCTATTGAGCCGGGGCTGCGTGGTGCCTTTCCCGAAGAAGGTGCCCTATCAACCTAAAACATACTAACACGGACGCCAATCGCGTCTCGCCCACAAACGTCCGACCAATGCTGATGCTCGTATCGCTTCATTTGCGAAGTACAATATGAAGCGAAGGGATTGATATGAAGCGACTGTGGTGCTGCATGGATATATGAGTATGTACAGCGGCATGTCCCGTAGCGGTTATGCCAACGGGGAATCCTTCCGAAACTGCTCCGGGATACACGTAGAACAAAGGCTTTTTTGCACGTTTCTGACCGTTTCTCTTCGAATGTTGCCATTTCCCCCCCCCCACTATATAGCCCCTGCTACCATTTAGACCGAGTTCAAATTAGCGCCTTCTGCCTTTGAAAGGGATGGTCAATAAGGAAGATCGCCGCTCACATTGGCCGATTCCACAATTACGTGAGCAGGTACGTGAAGCAAGCGTTCCGGGAAGGAAACTGTTTCTGATGGTGCAGGGCTGTCCAGTCAAAGAAAAGGCAGAAATCGGGAATTTGTAACCAAATTCACACTAAGTCAGCACAAATTCCGTGCTGAAGTGAGAGCTCTTGTCGGCAAAACAGATGTGTAACTGTGCGGAGAGTCGCCCATGAAAAGTAAAGGCATCACCTGAAGACTAATGGAGCACGTTCCAAGATCCATGGAGCACACATGATTGTGATATTATTGGGTTGGCCCATAAGTAATGGCTTTTTCCTCAACTGGAAATTTTGTTTAAAAAGTGAAAAGCTTTACGAGCAAGTTCGATATCATCTGATAGGAAACTTCTCGTACTATAAGAATATCGAAACAGCTTTGGGTGAGGAAATAATTTTTGTAAGTTTTTTAGTCGTTGAAGTTGGAAAGTTGAGTCGGCGAAAACGTACCTTCGACAGCTGCCTCTATTTACGTCCATTCGAAGTGCTAAAGTCCTTAAGTCCGCTTAAGCTGCTCCATACATTTGCAATAGGTTGAGCTAGAAGTCCCAGCGAGGGAATCCTCATAGGACGCTTCGGAACTAATTTCAAGAATTTCGAAGTTGGCAACCTTCACCTCGCAGATAATGGGCAGGATCACAAGTCATCGCGTCTGTTCCACTTGAAATTTTATGGTAATAGTTGAATGTTTCGCTAATGTGTTTTGTATGCTCTGATAGCAAATTTCGTGCTCTATAACACTGCAATGGAAATCTGTTTTCCATAGCTGTTTACTTTCTGTTAATTTCAGGTTATTAATACGGAATGTCAGGTCGATGAGAATCAGCATTCCCGACTTCTTCTCCCTACCGCTTTCCACGGAAGCTTCAAAGCCCCTGGAGCAGCTCAATAGATTCGCCATGGTTTGAGTAAAGCATTGAGTGAGAGATTAATATTAGGACGGCTCACAATTGATTTTGAGAAAAGCAATGCTTTTCAATGCCTTCTCGGTGACTGACTGAGCTGGCTGATCGGTGGGAGGAGGTTGTAAGAAACAATGGAGAATATATTATTGACTAGTTTATTGTAAACATCTATATTTTTATAGTGTTGTAAATACTGTGTTGAAATTTACTCAGGAAAACAAAAAAATCGTGAGGTATGGGTCGACCGGATGTCTGCAAGGTCAGCGTTGTCGGTTTTGCTTTTCTCAAAATATTGTGAGCCGTCCTAATATTAATCTGTTACTAAAACTTAATGTTAATCTGCTTAATGTTAATCTGTTAAACCATGGCGAATCTATTGAGCTACTCCAGGGGCTTTGAAGCTTCCGTGGAAAGCGGTAGGGAGAAGAAGTCGGGAATGCTGATTCTCATCGACCTGACATTCCGTATTAATAACCTGAATTAACAGAAAGTAAACAGCCATGGAAAACAGATTTTGTTATAGAGCACGAAATTTGCTATCAGAGCATACAAAACACATTAGCGAAACATTCAACTATTACCATAAAATTTCAAGTGGAACACGCGATGACTTGTGATCCTGCCCATTATCTGCGAGGTGAAGGTTGCCAACTTCGAAATTCTTGAAATTAGTTCCGAAGCGTCCTATGAGGATTCCCTCGCTGGGACTTCTAGCTCAACCTATTGCAAATGTATGGAGCAGCTTAAGCTGCACTTCGAATAGACGTAAATAGAGGCAGCTGTCGAAGGTACTAATTTTCGCCGACTCAACTTTCAATCAACGACTAAAAAATTTAAAAAACCATTTCCTCATCCGAAGCTGTTTGACATTCTTATAGTACGAGAAGTTTCCTATCAGATGATATCAAACTTGCTCGCAAAACATTTCACTTT